TGCCTAGACCACACGACCAAAGTTTGGTACACGGATTATCTATATCCTAACTTCAGTACACAAGATATTTTATGTACTGGTTTACGCGGGTAAAGCCGCGCTATACAGCTAGTAACTCATACATGTAACGGCCAAGAGTTCAAAAACATTAAACCACCATTCAATACCCCTCGTATGTACTGATGCTGTCTGTGTGTCATTGTGCTTGTAAAGGTAAACCGAACGTATTATGCGAAGTCTTTCATCATTTAAATGAGGTGTTGACTGTTAAAACTACCGGTGATAGTAGTCAGTGTTTCTGAAACTTTATAAATATTTGGTATTTTTTATTGACCATATAAAAAATTATTGCACGAAGAGATGACTGATATAGCATTGTTTATTATTCACCGTTTTAGAAAATAGGAATATTCACATGTATAAAATTTAATAATGCAGTATTTGATCTTATTTTGTACTTATGTATGTCGCAGGAAAATAAGGGTACTCGAATCATTGAATAATTCAAAGAATTCACAAGAGTTCATATTGTGATTTGTAACGCTTTCTTGTTGAAATTATCTAATAATATGACAAAATTCTATATTTATATTCAGTACATAATTTCACTAAACTACATGTAGTAAGATTGAATGAAACCTAATATGTGTTTTTATTAAATGAAAAATTAAAATTTCTATCAACGTCGTTATTACATCATAACAAATATTTTCACGTTATTATATGAAACGTAAACAATTATATTGTCATAATGATCATCATCATGATCTCAGCCGTTAACTGTCCACTTCTGAACATAGGCTTTCCCCTATTGCGGGACTTTACCAGTAGTTTGCTTGGCGGGCAAATTAGCAACCGCAGTTAGGCTTTGGTGATGTTTTAAAAGGGATGCTGCTACCTATCCCTCGATCATTAAATAGGTAATGTAATAATATAAGTAAATAATAATATACGAAAATTGTAATCGGTTCATAAGGAAGTGTGTGATGAAATAAACATTTTCTTTACATGGATTATTTATTGTTTTAACACCACTGTCCGTTAAGGTGAGACGAACTAATTTTGAATATCAAAGAACTGGTAGCTCTCTTGCTTTTATTTGTCGAAGCGACCGTCTCGCCGTGTCATTTCCTAAGAAGTTCACATTACGAATGTGACGTTTTTCCGTACATATTATTATTGTCGGTTATTAATCATAACAGTGTGAGTGTCATGTGTTTGTGTGGTGAAATGAAAATAAATATTCTATAACTGTGTGTATGTGTGTGTGTGCGTGTGTGTGGGATTATTAAATAAACACATTTGTGGATTATTCCGGTGTGTTGCAATCAATCATTTTATCGGATGCATTTATCATAGTGCATTACGTACGCAAATTGCTTCTCTGAAGATTTACATAGAATCGTTTCGCATATTCCGAATGTTTTTTTTTTTTTTTCTAATTGTACCGTAAAAATATACGGCTATGTTAGTGATTTATTTTCGTGCAATAACAATTTTTTTTTATTTTAAGTATTTATTTATTTATGTTTATTATTGATATACTGATTTTTATTTTATTTTCTTCTTTATTCTCTCCGCCTTATTAGAGGTTTGAGTTTACTTATAACTGATTTCAAAAGAATATGATCTTTAAATTTTTATTTATTGTTTTGTATGAGATGTTTCTATATTATTTAATCGAAGGGCTTTAATACACATATAATACACGAACACGAAACGAACGCTTTATATCTTTTTTTTTTTTAATTATATGTCATTTTTGTTTTGTTTTTACAGGGGATTTATTCAAATCGGTAATACTAACTCTATTTTGACTATAAAAATATTGTGCCCATTCTTTATGGCGATTATTCTTGTGTATAAGCGAATTCGTCCATATATCACAAACTTATAATTGATATGGAAAACTGAAATTGTTTATTAGATTTTACCTCTTAAATAAATTAATTCCTTGATATGCGTAATGTATAATTCTTTATACATTTTAAATCCTATTATTATAATATATGGAAAAGTTTGTAACCATGGATGTATGAATGTATGTTTGTTCCTTTTTTTACACAAAAATTACAAAAAATTGGCAAACGGTTAGGTTATATCCTACCATAGTAAATACTTTATATACCGATTTATGCGGGTGAAGCCACTGGATAGAGCTAGTAATAGGTAATAGGGTCGGCAATGCGCGCGTAATACCTCTGGTATGCAGGCGTTCATAGGCTACGGTCACCGCTTACCATCAGGTGGGCCGTATGCTTGTTTGCCAGCTCAGTGGTATAAAAAAAATAAACATGAAACTTATCTTTAAAATAGTACATAATACTCTAGCATAACATTTTCCGTAGCCAAGTGTCGTGAACAGACACTCAGAATAGTTTTATCGTTTGTAGCGCGATATTAAAACTAACGACAGAGATTTAGGGCTCGTTTTATTGTTACTAGTTTTGTTTTATTTTTGTTTGAAATAGTCAGTATAGACCGAGGTCTTATGGCATAATATTGATACCTAATACATTATTTGAGATTTTGCTACTCAAAAAAGACAATATGTAACAAAATTAATCTTGAACGCAAATTAAATACAGGTGAATTTAAAAGTTTTTGAATTTTTTTTAAAAATCGTAATTTGAGATAATTATATCACACATAGTCACATAAAATAACTACTTAACGTAAAAATTCTTATTCATTTAATTTTCAATACTTACTAATATTGTAAATTTGAATGTGCGTTTGTGTGAGATAGAGAAGTACGTAGGTTTTTTTTTAATTTTAATAGCGATTCAGCCAGAGCCTATTAAATTATATCGCACGGGTAGGTAGACAGATAAATTAGTAATTTATATTAGCTTTTATAAGCAAATTTTTAATATTTTTAGTTACGTTATTGTAATTTTTTAACTGACAAATTAGCTTTCTATAAATGAAAGAATTTATATAATTTTTGAGTTTATTCATTACAAACAAACTACAATCGTATCATTCCTATTTATATACATATATAATTAATATAGACAAAGAGTTCTGGGAGGATTGTTCTCGCTATTCGACGGATCTTCCTGAGTTTAGTGAAAAGAATGGTGATCATTGAAGGACCATGGAGAACTTATTATTTAACTGATTATTTTTTATCACGATCAGTTAGCATATTTCGGTGTCTATATAACTCTTGTGTAAAAACTAATTATATAATAAACTTATTTAGGCCTAGCCTTAATATATTTCATTACGATACTTTTGGAAATATGACGAGGCATAGATTAATATGTTGTAGTAGTTTTTCTTAGTATTTTAAACTGTAAAAGCTATGTAAAAATCGTAATAACATTCATGCTTAATGAAATTTTCAACTAGAATTTTATGTAAACACATTTGTCTTCATAAAATCTTAACCGCCTTCGTTATTTTTCATCGTCGCTTTCATGTCAGCAGAGCTCGGACTATAAAAAAATGTGGTTGCAGATTCTACAAAAACTTATGACTGAGTGTTTTTTTAGTTCATGAATAATTATTTTGTTTGTTTAGTTTATATATTATTAGTTTATTGTTGTTACTTGTTTAAGACGTATAAAAAACATAAAATATTAACAATAGAGACCGCCTTAAACAAACGTAAATTGAATGAATGATTGAATGAGTATACTTTATTTCCATTATTCAATATAGGAAATAAGCAAGACAATTTACACACACAACGATACAATTGTATAAGTACAGTAAGGCGGTCTTATTGCTAAAAGTAATCTTTTCAAGACAACCTTAATGTTGATTTTGTAAGTTTTGTAAAAGAACTAATTTAAAAGTTCTCTTAATGACAAGCTTGTATGAATAAATATATATATATATATATATCTGACTTTCGACGTGGCAAAACAAAGTATTTTAAAAAGTATTCTAAAATTAAAATACTAAAATTTGATAAAATGTCTATGAGACCAATTTGTAAGCATATCCTTTCGGATAAAAGAATTTTCCAAATCGGTTTACAAGTGACGGAGTTATGACGTAACAAACAATGCAACCGAATGGAGAACCTACTTCTTTTTGAAGTTACTTAAACAATCTGTGTGAGTCAAGCATTTGACGTTGTATAATTTCTGCTTATCCAATGGGGTTTAGGTGTGAAATACATATAAAATATAAATATAAAGTATTATTTACACTTAAGATTTGAGATCGTAACCCAGCGGTGTATTGCCCGGACTTATATACCCCAAAAGTAGAGAGTTCGATCCGGGCGGCATCTAGAACTTCGTACGCCAATTTAATTACTAAATCTGACTAACTCTCCGGTGATTGGGGACATCGCTAAAAACGAAATTTATCTAGGTAACGATAATGGACTAACCTCTAGCGTGGCAATCAAGCTATTAGTAGTTATGTCACAGTTAGATTGATTTTAGGGTTCCCCACTTCAAGAGGAAAACCAGAACTCTTGTTGGATCATTTTATTGTTAATTTTTTTGTCCGTCTGTCAAAACCCTTTTTCTCAGGAACGCGTGAAGGTATCAAGCTGAAATTAGTATCAAATACTCAAGTTTACAATCTCTAGAAGATGTGAAAATATTAAACTTCTATGTCAACGCAATAAAAAATATATTTTAATTTAAAGTTAGCAAGAAGTAATGTCATACAACACAAGTAATAAGAAAAATCTGAAATCATAAATTAGTAGTTATCATACAAAAAAAAAATCTCGCATATTTTGCAAAATATGTTTTTTCTAATTAAAATTTGTACGGAGCACTTGGTGCAAGAGTCCATTTCGCACTTGGCCGTTTTTTCTTAACAAATATTCCATTTCAGTCACGTTACTAGTTAAAATTGAAAAAGAATTGAAAAACGGTCCAATATCTAACAATGCTCGTGTTGACATTGTGTTTTGAAACCGGTCCAAAATGTTGCCGGAACCCAACGCCTAATTACCTCACCTTACCTAATCCTACACTTCATCACCACTACAATATATCAACTAATCTCGTCTATTTCTTTTTCAGCGTTCTAAATACGGCGGCGACCGCGCAAAACCACATTAAACCGTGAAAAACATCAGTCGAGGCAAGATGGCGTCGACGTTTTCGCGCCAAAACCTGCGTCACCGACGCTGGCGCCACCACCCGGCGGCCAGTCATAACTTCCGCTGTTTGAATCATCGGGACCGTTCGAAATAGTCACTTGTGATTTAACTGTGACACTGCCGTGTCGTGATGTGATATAGTATTGTTTTTGTTTTGTGTTTGTGTTTGTGTTGTGTAGTTTTAAGTGACGATGTCGGAGGAAAGATCGCGGCGGCTGTCGCAGATCTTTGACCCTCTCTCGAGGTTCACGGATCATAGTGGGGCTGGCCATTCTGCAAGTACCCCCAGCAGTCCTCGGCTATTGCCAAGGAGGGGGAGAGAGCCGCCGCCACCGCCACCTAGGTGAGAAAAATTGATTTAGCTATCTAGTAGATTTTTTATGAATAAGTATCAGTGTTATATACATATAATACAGTGCTATTTACTCTTAAACTAATTGGTGTTTGTTCTATGGTTACTAGATAATTGATAGATATACTTATATACTAATATATACTTCAAAAAGAGAATAAAGAGGTTTCTTTAGGGTCGCGCATGTAATACCCTTAGTATTGTAGGCGTTCATAAGCTACGGTAACCACTTACAGGTGGTACTTACTTATCAGGTGGGCCGTATGCTTGATTGCCACCTCAGTGATATAAAAAAAAAACATGGAGTGATGATCTCAAATGCATTGCAGGGAGTCAGTGGAGCAGGTGGTTCAGGATCGATCTTTATGGCAGTCTATGGGGGAAACCTATGTTCAGCAGTGGACGGATAATGGCTGAGATGATGTTGATGATGATATATAGAAAATACCAAACCTATACAAATATACCTATTTATGAATACAAATGATGGTATTATGGACTGTACCAGTGAGGGATGATAGGTGAGGATGAACTGAAACATTTGGGTCTTTTGTGGCCCTGTACCAAGAATTAGCCACGACTGTTTTTTTTTTTTTTAGAGAACGTGAAAGTAGTTCTGACAGAATTATGTTGCTAACAACGGGGACTAACGACTCTGTTGCTAGCCTCCCTCCCCCTTTAGATATCCAGAACTATGCATGCCCATACGCTGAGTAATGTACTAATTACTTTGAGATTAGATAATTCGACCTTTGTTCTATTGTTTTTGCAGTTACCTGATTTTAAATAAAAGAACTATTCTTTTCATATGATTTGTTGTTATCAAATATCTGTCAGTTTACATTTTTTTTTAATGGGTGATAATGGAATAACGTGACCCTAAGAATGACGTAACCTGCGCTAACGGTATTTGCTGGCGAGGCACCAGTGAGGAATAATTGGTGAGGATGAAAGGGCAGGTCAGTTAGCCCACCGTAATGAATACACTTGGTATTCAGCACGATGGTTTCCAGGGGGGACTACGTGGAGGTCGGCCTGATAGGGTATATTTCTAGCAATGGGACTGATAGTCCGCATTATTAACAATCTCTTTCCCCCTTGTCAGTGTACATTAGCTAGCAGTATAATCTGTGCCGGTAGACATAAACAATAACGGTGTTTTTTAAATTATTGATTTGCTTAATTCATAGACAACACCTACGCGAGGATAATTAATGGATTATTAATCTATGGACGACTTAATAGTTTTAATATGCAATTAATGAATCAAAGTTCAACGGTTTGTCAGGATTGCTATCTACTTTTTTATAAAGTAAAAAAGCCTTTTGCAATTGGGCGTAGTTGGAGTTTGTAATGAAATTAAAATAAATTTTAATTTAGAATTCTGATTGAGATTACAGACTAAAATTAAAAGTAAATTATGTTATCTGAAGAAAAATTACAGTAGATTCTATAAACTTAGTAATTTCACATTTTATATTTTATTTAGAATCTTCTTTTTAGACATACACACATATACATGCATGTCTATAAATATATATTATTAATATATCAGCCATTAACTGTCCACTACTGAACTTAACTTCCCCATAAGAAGAGTTTTGCCAGTATATATGACTATGCTGTCACAGATATTATTTTTTACAGATCTATTTCTTTTAACGCGCCACCTACCTACTTATGCTTTAATTCCTTCTACCCAAAGGTTGTCTGGAAGAGATTGCTTAGCAATAAGACCGCCTTTTATACTACACTATACGTATTGAAAATTGTTCAACAAATCCTGTTATGTTGGTGCAATAAAGTGTTAAATAAATAAATAAATATTTCTCATGACTGGCAGGCGTGTTAACAACCGCAGTTAGGCTTTGGTGATGTTTTAAGAGGGACGCTGCTGCTCATCCCTCGATCATTAAGTTCCCTTAGGCGATTCTTACGACACCCACGGGAAAGTAAGGGGTGGCTCATTCTATGCTGGGACCACAGTGCGTAATATATGCGTATGTATAATTAATTTTGTTGTAAGTTTTAAATATTCTCAGTGCTGTGTTTGACATCTCTGTGGTGTTTTAAAGTAATAAATGTCTTTAGATAGATCTAAAACTTATTTTTAAATATTATTTTAAATGGACTCGCAGATAATTTACAAAGTAAATCAGCTGTTTTACTGACTTCAAAAAAAGGAGTAAATTCTCAATTCTAATGTATATAGTTTATGTTTATTACCTTAGAAACTTTGTATTTGATTTGAAAGGATGTACTTTCAGATTAGTCCCATAAAAATTTCATTAGTAGCTTGCTTTTAAATAAAAATATCAGGTTCTGTCACGATTGAAGTTTGTCTTTTTTTTCGTGTAACAAAATCAACTTACGTTACCAAAGCAGCTAACAATCGGCCATTGCACTGTTGACTAAATTATGGTTATTACAGCAATGCCCATTCCCATTATCTACACCAATCCATAGATTCGTTCCGACAGAATTAATTATTGAAAATTAATAACGCCTCATTTGTCTGCTGGATTAATCCGAATATTCTGCGGTGGAACGGTAAATCCTTTCTGGCTTTAATAGTGGCCGAAATAATGTACATTAAAATTAATGAACTCACAGCATAATAATATTTATGGCAAACGATACTATGGTTTGTCGGTGCATGTATTTCGCAATGAAAATTATTTAGCATTCATTTGGAACATTCGTAATAATTATGTTCGAATAATTAATAATCGGATTACAAAATTTGTTAGAGTTGAAATCATTTTAATTAACAACTGAATCCTATATGGTTTGCTATCAATCCCGTCCAGCTTCGTACGTGTTTCGTACAGGTACATAGAATTTTTTAAAATAATATATATTCTAAGATACTCGTTGATAATGTAGTTTTCTATGAGTGAGAGAATGTTTAAAATCGGTTAAGTGGTTTTTGACATTATTCATTTCAAACAAACAATCAAATTTTCCGTCTTAATTATATTAGTATAGACAAATGTACACCGATTTCCATATAAAACACAGCCATACAAACCCAGCTGCTTTCCATGCTTCTCAACAGATACACGAGTGGGACAGTGGTACCCATAAAGACTACTTTTGTTCAAAGTCTCTCTCTCTGTTAATGGTAATTACCTCTAAAGAGAAAGACAAATTAAACTTCATATGATGATTAATATCCGAATGAAGTTAATTAGAAGTTTCATGATTTTTATAATCATGAAACAAGGAGATAAGATTACATGTAGTCTACTTACTTAGTTGAAAAAAAATACATTCGGCCTTATTTTTTTTAAATATAATAATAATATATAAGTAAGTGAATTTTTCAACATGTATTTTTTTTCTTATTAATGTAGTTTAAAATAAATCACTAACTGAGCTCCATTCAAAGTCTGACTTTTACTCAAGAGTCTGTCTGCAGATTAGAAATACGAGTAATATGAATAACTCCTCAGTGGAGATCTTATAGAACGGATCGTTTAACTAACAGAGAGACATTTCAAGACGTTGAGATTAAATTAATCATTACAGTGATATGGAATTTAAATTGGAAGTAGTTTAAAATGTTGTTTCAGAATAAGTTAATTTTCCTTCGTTAAAAATTACGACTTCAGTCGTGACTAAATTATAGTAATCTCATTATTCTTGTTCTATTCTTATTTTAAAATGAAAAGTCAGACTTAAAATATTTTAAATTTAGAATGTGGAATGGTATATGTACATTTTTATTCGGCAACAAGCAAGGCTTTGCTCTTCAAAGAATAATTACGAATTCAATCGTGACATAATTAACATGAGACCAACCTAGGAGCAAATCTTATTGATCTTTTTATGCAACTTAGAATGGAAAGCAAGCTGACGGCCCACCTGATAGAAAGTGGTAACCATCACCTATAGACATGTGCTGTACCATGGACATAACAGAGTACATTGTTTCACCCATGATACCCCGTGCGTTGTCATTCCTGAGGACTCAGGTGTTATTTCTCTATACCCTGTAAATTCACTGCCATATCCCATCTTTCCAACCGAAACAAAAGTATGCAAACACAACTGCTTCACGGTAGAAACACGAATGGGACAGATGTGTCAAAGCAAACGACTTTTTTACGAAGTCTCCCTCTGGTAGATTTCAAAAATAATCATTTATCTCAGTTAAGAATTAGCGATGTACTCGCGGAATACACCCAAAAATATAGACGAACTTATTACCTTTATCTTTTGAAAGTCGCTTTAAAATTTAGCACAATACAGAGATTTATTTCTCAGTTGACTTGCGATAAGTCCATACAAACTTGAATAGGACTTAGGTCGAACGACTCTAACTTCAATGTCATTTAATGCTTTATTTTTCGAAAATAAGGTGACAGTTAATTCTACCTGTCACCATTCATGTTCATGTTACTTTTAGCGATATCTCTTAGTTGTTTCTTTGATTAATAAGTTCTAGATAGAATGTCTCTATACAAACGTTTTATCGAAAACAACTCTTTTTATTTTTATGTAACAGAATTTTTATCACAGACGTCATACTGTTGCACGATTTGTCAGCGAGTGCATAAATAGAGATATCAAAATATTATTTTTATTACTTGCAACACAGAAGAAAATGGCTTTACAAAATAAAACTATACGTTATTCATTCATTCATACATCAGCCAACCTTCGACTGACTGACGCATTGACTGATGGATTGTTGGGACGTTTTTTGTCACTGGAGTCTCCATCTAGAATATAGCTATTTGATTTAACGTAATGTATGTAACTAACTTGCTTAAGTAACGAGATTAAATTACCATTTTTCTAACTTTAATCTTGATTTTATTTTTACTAGGCCCATTGCCCATCCATCGCGACTTGATCCTTTGGAATACGGGTTAGCAACAGCCGAAGCATCCGTGAACTGGCAAGAGCGGTGTCTGGAGCTACAATTGGAGTTGCATAGGAGTCGCCACCAGGCCACCCGGGTCAGGGATATGTTGAGAGATAAGGTAAGTGAAATAATCCTTATGAAAGGTCTTTGTTAGTGTTCTAACTATATTTTGCTTTATTTTAAATATTTTAAAATTTATAAATAAAAGACATATATAGATAGTTTGAAAAGGAATGGTTTTTATTTTTTATTAAATTCAAATTATTATAACAAAAAGAGTTTTTATGTGTTATTAGATCTTTTAGTTTGTCTTATAAGTTTTGCCTTTTTTTTTAAAGGTACTACTAATATAATAAAATTATGACTAGTCTAATATAATTATTATTATTTATTCTTTATTGCACAGTACAAATTTCGAGCTTAATGTCATATTGCATTCTCTACCAGCTAACCATAAGGTAAAAACAGCGTATGAAGGGGCAGAAGTGGTGGTATGTTTTAGTGCCATAAAGAATATATATATATATATATATATATATATATATATATATATTTATATACAACTTATAATGGCAAACAAGCTGACGGCCCACTTGATGAAAAGTGGTAACCGTCGCCTATAGACATAAGCAGTACCATGGACATAACAGAGTATACTGTTTCGCCCATGATACCTCCCATGCGTTGCCATTCGTGAGGACTCAGGTGTTATTCCTCCGTACCCAGTAAATTCACGCCATATCCCACCCTTCAAACCGAAACACAGCCATGCAAACACAACTGCTTCACGGTTGAAACACGAATGGGACAGAGGTACCCAAGTAATCGACTTTTGTACAAAGTTTCCCTCTGATAAATATGGACTTTGTATATGGACATTCGCAAGGTCACACCTAAACAAACACCTAGTTCAATAAAATGGTTATCACTCCATCTTAAACTAGAAATAATATTTTGAAAATTTACCCTGGGTTTAAATATTGCACTTGAAAAGAGTTTAGGTATCCAAAATACATAAGAGGTTGCCTGTATTTTTACGACTTTATTTGTATAATTGGCATAGCTTGGCGTGTAGCGGTGGACTACCAGTCACAGGGGAGCTTGGCTCGGCATTGACTGACTAGTGGCGACATCTCGTGTCGTGATTTGACGTTACAATATTATAAATGCGGAAGTTTGTAAGAATAGATCGATGAAAAACTACTGAACCGATTTGAATTAAATTTGGTATTGGATAGGTTATATTCTAACTTAGCATATGGGATATTTCACGTACTTATTTATGCGCGCGACGCCGCATGATTCAGTTAGTAAATTATAAAAACGGGTGCATTCATATATCATTAATGGAACCATAACTGATCGCAGCACCGAGGACCATCTGAACCAACCGAAAGTTAGCCACGGTGTGTGCCTCGTCATCTGTTCTTTATAGCCCTGATAGTGTAGGAGCCTAGGTGCAATAATATTTTTTTTGGTACTACTTGAATGGCAAACAGTGACGACCCACCTGATGGGAATTTTCACCTACAGATATAAACAGCATCTTGTTGGATTCCGTGGTAGCCTACATTTGTTACTATTCCTGAAGTCTTTCAAACAGATATACAGTCATGTGAGTACACACAATAATACCACACATTTTACATTACATTAATAGGCTTCAAACGGCACATTTTGTGTTCTAAAAAGAGCAAATATTCAAGGATGCGATTCAAAACATACAAATCCCAGTAAATTGAACATTAATTCTCTGATTGCTCAGCAGCCAGATATTTTTTTATAATATTATAGATATACATATTTAATGACAAAATGGATATATTTTTAAAATGTTGTACAAAATTTGTAAGTTCGTAAAATAAATCTATGGCTCACTACACGTTTTGGTCGACTGTAAGTGTGGTGAGTAATTTTCAAATAAATAAGTAAATAAATAAACTGTTTTAAAAAAAAGAAGTTGATCGTAATCTAAACGTAACATAAACCTGGAAGTCTGGTTTATCACTCTTACAATTAAGCTATCAGTTCCTTACATGTTCTTGTCGAATTCTTATTTTATTAGTCACTAAGCGAGTAAATGATTGAAAGCTAGTTTCCTTTCCGTTATTTTACTTAATCTTTTTATGGATTATTTATTGTTATTAATAGTATGAATTCTTGCCATATAGATTGTTATAGTATTAATTCAATATTGAATGAATAATAACGTATAAATAAAAAAAAAAAAGTTTATTCTCAAAGAGAGAATGCAGCAAAACAACAAAAGCTTCAAATTGGGGAAACCACCGAAAAATATCACATACAAGCAGCTACATCTTTCTGAGAAAACGTTCCCCTAATCGTCTAATCAATAACACTTATTTTGTCGGGCATTAGAGACCCAGTCCCCAGGCCTATGGGATTTAATTTCGCGTGACATTATTCACGTCTGCGTAAGTTTTTGTGTTCAACGGAATATCGCGCGCCTCGAAAAGAGTTTATGATAGATGGCTGATACATTTTTCATTACTTCCCTGTGAATGTGATCTAAAAGTTGTTTGGAAAGGCCAACTGGGGTTAATAGCAGTTATACCCAGTTTATATCTTTAATAAAACCTATGATAAAACTGTTTAGAGTAAAAGATAAGGTATACCAAAATCGGAAGAGATTAAAGCAAGAGGACTTATTTAATTTGATATTTGACCTCATTTGATATGAGGTCGCACGTTCCTCAGACTTTTATTTTACAGAGACTAGCTTTTACCGGCCATTTCGTCCTCTAAACTGGCATAATTACTGACCAGGATAAAAAGTAGCCTATACCTTTCTTTATTATATGTGTGTATTATATAATAATATGTTGCCTAATAAGTTATCAAGCAGGTCATATACTTAATAGCGATCATAGGATCAATATATTAAAAATAAATCATTGTAACAATGGATAGATGGATCGATGCATTGATGTTTTTATTCTTTCACAGAATAACTACTGAACGGATTTGAAGGAAATTTGGTACATGAGTAGGTTATATCATGACTTAACGCATAAAATACTTTATGTACTAATTGACACGGGCGAAACCGCAGGATATAGCTAATATCAAATAATAGGAAATATTTTTTTTATAATATTGAGTTTTCTGTAGAAGATATTTGACTCCCCCCTTATTTCTGAACCGATAGGGCGTATCTAATATCTAATAATATGCCATGGCTTCATGTCCATGATATATCCCATAAAAACCACTGGGCTAGAAGATAAGCTGATAAGGAAGTGAAACAAGAAGTCTCAATTGCACGTCATTCAATTTTTCGGGTTCTATATATCTAAATAGTATGAAGGAACCCTTATGGTACGATTTTATCTGTTTACCCATCCATCCGTTCGTCAGTGTTATTATATCTACGTAACTACGAATTCTGTAGGTCTGAAATTTAAAACAAATTTAAATATTGTAGATCCACTCTTATATCAGAAGAAATAATAAAAAAAAGTCTTTTTTTACTTTTAGGGAGGCTATATAAACTAGAATTATTTTAGTAAGCTGTATGTGAATATTGCAAGAATAATAATAAAATATGATATTTCTAACTTGGATTAGAATTTTTGGATTTTATTATAAAATATAGGGTCATAAAGAAGAATATATTCTAGATAAGAATAATATAATAAGATAAAATAATAATAAGATAGATTGGCATACCTAATTTTACTGTCTCTAAAATATATTCGACACATATTTCTTTCTGAATTCATAATATCGTCATAGTCATAGAATACTGACGGATCTTTATATGTAATCTTTGTCAGATCCGTCAGTATTCTACGACTATGACGATATGTGAGTATCATGAGGAAAAGACACCATAAAAAAAACCTTTTTTTGCATTGTTTTTGAATCTTATATTTTTTGACATTAAAATTCAAAATTTTAGTGATCATATTAATTACCTGTTAGTGTCTGTTACATATTTTATATAAAAAAATGTCATGTCACCGTGTTTGTGGTCAAACTTCTTGGAAACGGCTCGAATAATTTTTATACAATTTTTATGTATATTTCTTAGGTATGAAAATAGGTCATTTTGGCATTTGAACAATTAATTTTGATAATTGAACTTTAGATTAGAGCGTCCTTCAAATTTTTACTAAGGATCCCGTGAACTTATGGTCGTGAGTGGTGGTAACTTTTAATTAACTAAAGGAAATTTCTCTAAACGTCGTTTGGGACAATTTGTAAAGTTTTAACGATTGTCAACACTGAGGGTTCAGTCAATTTGCGTCCGACTGCTGATCGATTCGCTCGTGAAAGTTTTTATTAGGTCTATTTTTAGCTTAATTGGTACCTAAATGTGGTCACTTTTTTTTATTAAAATTTTTTATGACAATTCATACTTACTGTGTAAAATCCTTACTTATTTATTTTAATGTTTTTCTTTTTATATTAACGACTTACCTTAGCTTCGTACAGTATTTTTTTAAATAAAATACAGTCTATGTCACTCGTTGATAACATAGCTTTCTATGATGAAAGAACTGTTTTACAATTGGTCATATATTTTTGAGTATATACATTACGATCAAAAACGAATTTTCTTTTTATATATTAGTTCAGAACATTGAAGTCACAGAAAGTAAAAAATATACAATATTTTATGAAAACCTGAAATAGAAACCAATACCAAGCGTCGCTTTCTGTGTACGGTCCTCATCATATAGTGACAAAAGGTGCCTAGTATAATAAATTGTATAAGTAATAGTTGAAAAATTAGATTAGTCAACAAATAAATAAAAAAAAAAATCTTGAAAATTTCGATGCATGAATGTCGTCACGAGCATACATACTACTTTTTGGATAAAAAGAAGGGTGAAGAACAAACCTGGTTCACGTAGTCCCCGCGTGTATATATGTAGGTCTTTTATAAGCGTTCTTGTTTTATCTTCAAATTATACAACACTTTTGTTGATTCGCTTAAGTGTCACTGTATGCTGCGCGGAGATCGCGGCTGATTGAATAATATACAGAGATTTATTTGTGATCTTAGCGGAACTTGATCAGCTCGACGCACAGTTGGATTACAGACTAATTTTGTCCATCTACCGTCAATGTGATCCCAGATTTAATAGGGAA